GCTAATACACTGCATTTTAATAATCACAGAACATGAGTTTTTAAAACAGTGCTTACTGAAAATAAGATCAGAATGAAAGATATAACAAGATGCTATTTATATAAATTTAAAATGTTTGCACACAAAACAATTCATATTTTGCAGGAGTACAATTTTTAAAATGAGCATTAGCCCAGCCGGGCGTGGCTCAGCAGTTGAGCGTCAACCTGGGGTCCAGGCGACCGGGGTTCGATTCCCGGTCAGGGCACATGCCCGGGTTATGGGCTTGATCAATGACTCTCTCATCATTGATGTTTCTATCTCTCTCTCTCCCTCTCCTTTCCTTTCTCTAAAATCAATAAAGATATATTAAAAAAATAAAAAATGAGCATTAAAGGAGTTGTAATGGTTGCCTTTGGAGGAAGGACAAACAAGAAATGGGTGCTCAGTGATTGAGCCCCGACCCATGAACCATGCCTGGGTTGTGGGCTTGATCCCCAATAGGGGGTGTGCAGGAGGCAGCCGATCAATGACAATCTTTCATCATTGATGTTTCTCTCTCTCTCCTTCTCCCTCTTTCTGAAATCAATAAAAAACATATTTAAAAAACTGTTTAAAAAGAAAAGTATATAACTAGAAAAGAATAGTTTTCAACATAAAAATATAATAAGGCATAGATCAATGAAACAATGTACCAAAAACTGTGTCATTAATTCAGTCCTCCACACCTGAGACCCTAATACACAGACAAAATGCAGTGAAAGGACAAAGGGAGGAAATAGCACTACTGGAGCTCAGGAGTCAAGGTTTCCCTCCAGAAGCTGGAAGCAGAGGGGGCCTGTAAGAGTAGGAGCTGGGGGCGGGGTGATGTGTGAAGGAGTGTGCTGGCCTCCTCCAGGCCGCCAGTCTCCTGCCTACCATGGGCTGAACCCAGCCAGAAAGCAGTGAACATGGGCCCTTGGAAAACAAAAGCCTGAAGGATTTAACTCCCCATGATATAGGGCAGAGTTTAGGAAGGGCTGCAATTGGTTCTGAAATCACATGGGCCAAGGATAACTATGCAGAATCAACAGACACACACACACACACACACACACACACACACACACACACACACACAAGCTCCAATTCAAAGTTCCCACTGTGTCATATGTCTCTCTCTCTCTCCTTCATTTTCAATCCTCTATCAGTCGACATCTTTCCTCCACCTTCCATGCCTTTTTTTCTCTTTCCCAACTCTCTCCTTTCTTTCTTTTTTTAATCCTCACAGGAGGATATGTTTTTATTAATTTGAGAGAGAGAGGAGGGGGGAGAGAGAGAGAGAGAGAGATCGATCTGTTGCTTCCTGTATGACTGGGGATTGAACCACCAACCTAGGTATGTGCCCTGACCGGGAGTCAAACCCACAACATTTGGTGCATGGGACAATGCTCCAACCAACTGAGCTACCAGGCCAGGGCTCCTTATTTCTTGTTTGTCTCCTCTTCTCCTTCCCCATCACTTCTCCACATTCTTTAAACTACTCGGTCTCCTGTATCTAGCTCTAGCTTGCTTTCCTTAATCCTGCTCTCCCTGGGGTTTCAACCCCTAGACTGGTCCCTGAGAAGCATCAGAAACAAAGCGTCTGGATGAGAGCAGGAGTGCGCCTTCACCAGAGGGGTTAGAACAGACCCCAGGGCGCTGCACCCTAGTCCTGCACTTCACCTACGCTGACTTTTCATCAGTCCCCAACCTGTGCCGCCCTCATATTCCCTTCTTTCCTCTTGGCACCTTTCTCTGCTTTCCCCCCTCCCTCCTTTCCTCCGCGTGGCGCTCAGCATCCCTGGTTCTTTTGTCTTCCAGATCAGCCCTCTCCGCTTCCAACTACTGCTTCTTCTCCTTTCTGCTCAGAAATGATTGGTTCTCCTTAATGTTCAGACTTTAGTTCTTCAGATATGTGGGGCCATTTATCAAAGGGTCCTCACCTTTGTGGTTGCTCCCCAAACTGTGTTCTTGGCCATCAGGAGCAGACCCTCATTTCATTCATTCAACAAATATTTATTGAGTGCCTGCTCCTAGGCTGGGTGCTGGGGATATACAGGTAGACAAAGTGATCTTCTGCCCTCAAGATTAAAGTACAGAGAAGAAATGATAACAATATACTATATTGGGGACACATGGCTTTCTGGAGGAAAGCCAAGGCAGGTTTCATGGGGGTGTGTGTGAGCGTTTTTTGAAGAATGAGTAGGAGTCCTGCTGTATTCCAGACTGAGGGATTATTAATATGACAAAGACACCAAGGAATGAAACACCACTGTGTGTTCTGGGCACAGGAAGTAGTTAGGTATTCAGTGGAGTCAGATGGATAGGAGGAGACAGGAGAGGAGAGGAGGGAGGTTTAGTTCACTCTGAAAAGGGGTTTGAACTTGACAGTGGTGGCAACAAAGAGCCAATGACTTTTAGGGCTGGAGTGATAAGGTTGAACTTTTTCTTTTTTTTTAACCCTCACCCGAGGATATTTTTTCCATTGCTTTTCAGAGAGTGGAAGGGAGGGAGAGAGAGAGAGAGAGGAACATCAACGTGAGAGACACATCCGTTGGTTGCCTCCTGCATATACCCCGACTGGAGCCAGCAACTGAGGTACAGGCCCTTGGAGTGGAACCTGGAACCTTTGAGTCGGAGGACTGATGCTCTAACCACTGAGCAAACTGGCTAGGGTGAGGTTGAACTTGTTTTATTTTTTTATTTTTGTTTAAAATATTACAGATGTCCCTTTTTCTCCTCAATGACCCATTCCACCCTTTCCCAACCCCCTCCCCAGGCCCTCTCCCACCATCGTCCGTGTCCTTGGGTTGTGCATATGTGCGTATAAATGCTTTGGTTACTC